GGATGATGGATTGAACAGTGCTCTGTGAGATGTTCAAAGCTTGGGATATGTTTTTATAACCTAATCCTGCTTTAAACTTCTCCACAACTTTATCCCTGATCTGTCTGGTGTGTTCCTTAGTCTTCATGATGCCGTTTGTTCATTAATGTTCTCTAACAAACCTCTGAGGCCTTCACAGAACAGCTGTATTTATACTGAGACTGAATTACACACAGGTGGACTCTATTTACTAATTAGGTGACTTCTGAAGGCAGTTGGTTGCACTGGATTTTGTTTAGGGATATCAGAGTAAAGGGGGCTGAATACATATGCGTGCCACACTTTTCAGATTTTTATTTGTAAAAACTCTTGAATACCACGTATCATTTTCCTTCCACTTCACAATTATGTGATACTTTGTGTTGGTCTGTCACATAAAATCCCAGTGAAATACATTTAAGTTTGTGGTTGTAATGTGACAAAATGTGGAAAAGTTCAAGAAGTATGAATACTTTTGCAAGGCACTGTACATCCTATTTGTCCCCCCCTACCAGAGACCCCTGTGTTGGATGATGGGGAGGAGGGAGGAATGAGGCTTTGGCATCTGGTGAAAGCCAGCGAGGAGTCCGAGCTACCCAAGCACAGGAGAGGCAGTCTGAAGGAGAGGGGTGGGGAGAGAGCCAAGGCTATCCTTGAAATCTACCTCACACGACTGCTCTCCATGAAGGTAACAGACATGATGTGACTCCTTTGCTAATGGTGGTGCTCACACATATCTGAAAAGGTTTTGCCTACTTAAATGTAACACTCATAATAATACCCCATGTCCTAGAATAATGGCAACCCCTAACGGGAACAGCCAAAAGAAGAAGAAGTCCTAGAATAAACAAGTCTTTGTCCTTAGAGCTTTTCAACTTGAAAACACTACATCATCGTTCACTGCTCAGTTTTACTTGTATATTTTTTAAATGATTTTCTTTGGCCTGTGAGTAAAATATTCTCAATTAACAGGTGCTGCACCTTAAATAGCAACAGAGAGTGAACTGGGGTGTGAACATGGAGGCCTTCATACCAAAGCTTTTGTGTTATTTTAAGCAAATATTTTCACAAAGAAAACCATTGTCAGTCCAGTGTGAGTATACATTGTGTTAAACAAATATTGATTTTTAATATATCTGTTGGTCTCTAACACATTGCATTTCAGCAATGCATTATTGCACCTCCATGATGCTTGGTCACAACCTAATGGTCAAAGTCTGTACAGCAGTGCCTCCATGTCCAATCTGAGATGATCACATCACTATGATATAGTCAGGGTTATTTCCTCAGACTTGACGAAGCTCCTCCGAAGCCACAGAATATTATACAGCTCTTTTCACTGGCTTCTCATGGCACATAAACTGAGCTTCATGTGTAAAATCAGTGGGGTACCCCTTTAATGAGAGCATCTCATCTTTGTTTCATGGTTTATTTGTCTCTTTCACTGTGTCTGCTCTGTACCAGGGCACACTGCAGAAGTTTGTGGATGATTTATTCACTGCAATCCTCAGCACCAGTCATCCTGTACCTCTGGCTGTCAAATACTTTTTCGACTTCTTGGATGAGCAGGCTCTTCAGCACAATATCACAGACCCCAAGACCATTCACATCTGGAAAACCAACAGGTAAGTCACCAGCAGTGGTGTCAGCAGCTTACAAAAGGTTCAGACGGTATGAGACAGAGTTGCCAGCTTCTGGTAAAAACATTCTGCAAAGACTGTGTCAGTAAAGACCACCCACACAGAATTTATGAACAGCTGATCACATGGTTTTATACATCATGATTTGTGCTCCATAAAGAAGAGTGACCTGAGCTACAAAGATTTTGCCAGTGTTACATGTAGTCCAAAATGCAGCTGCTTGTTTTATCACCTAAAACTAAATGCAGAGAACACACTAGCCCCATTTTAAAGATCCTTCATTGGCTTCCTATACATCAGAATTCATTTTAAATTTCTGCTTTTAATTTTTAAGTTGCTTAATGGATTGGCACCAGAATACATTTCTGATATGCTGGTTTAGTATGTTCTTCAAGACAAAAATTATTTGAAAATGCCAAACAATGCCTTTTCCTCTGGTACAGTATATTCCCATATGGCTAATATATGAATATGCCTTCTTGATATACATTGTAAATTGTGGATCATTATTTAAATGTACATCCACTCTCTCACCTTGCCAGTTTACCACTGCGGTTCTGGATCAATATCCTTAAGAACCCACAGTTCATCTTTGACGTGCAGACGTCAGATCACGTGGATGCCGTGTTGTCTGTCATTGGCCAGACCTTTATGGACTCCTGCACCATTGCTGACCACAAACTGGGAAGGGTGAGCTAACTTAAGACAATACCAGTATTATTCTATACCACAGTGGCTGTGCTTTTAAATTAAAAAAAAAACGACAATGTTAGGATCATAATGGGAAACTGTATTACTGCACCGCTCAGTTTTATACACAGCTCACATCACATCTCTACACATGGTTGGAATAAGAGAAGTGATTGGAATGTGAGTTTATTTGCTGTATGTTAGTTAATCACAATGCAAATAACATCTGTTGTGAGACCTCAAGCTGTTTTCTACCCACTGCAGAGCTTTATGTTACCGGTCCCACAGCATGTGATATTCAGGACATGCACTGTATATCCGTTTGTCTTCGTTGCACAGGACTCTCCTATCAACAAGTTGCTGTACGCCAGAGACATCCCGCGCTACAAGCAGATGGTAGAGAGGTAAGAGCATGGCAGCCCTTCACCCCACTGACCTCAGGCATAGTGATCTGAAAGAGGGGGAAGGAGAGAGTGAGGCCTAGGACAATCTGTCAGTGCCAGACAAAGGGGAGGCTAAGCCCGGGAGGCTTCCATGCATGGATGGTATGAGAGCAGACTGCTACACTTACTACTGTCTGCTGCACATTAAACTCTGCAGATTATACTGGTGACGTATTAAAGCTTTGCTAGACAATACTGTTATGTAACAAATACACCTGTTTTATAAGCCATAATAGTCTTATCTGAATTAAAAAGAATAACAGCTGCAGAAAATATTTTCTATGCTCTCTCTCTACATATTTTCCCACTGATATGGTCTAGATTCCTCCTATTTTCCCATGTGAAATGAAACGGCAGAGACAGTGCACATCTTTTAGGAGTAGTGAACATGACAACTGACATCAGCAGTTGATAGCTGTTGTAACTTAAATACTGAAAATCATGTTTAGTTTTTTGTCTTCTCTTGTTTTTGTTTTGTTTTTTCTGACCTTTCCACCTTACTACATAATATAGAAGTGTACTGAATGTGGTCAGTCCTCTTAGAAATCACTGCTGGGTGTTGGCGAGATTTATATTTAAAGCTGCTCAAATTAATGTTTTATGGTCACAGTGAAAACAGTTCCTCTCTGTAATGTGAAGGGAGTCATTCATAGTGATGAACCCACAGGAAACCTCACCCTTCTTCAGTTCCTCTAAGCTCCACACAGCATTTTACCTTCTTTAGCTACTTTTAGCTTTACAACTTGCTGCTTTAATTTTTGGCTCATTAGCGCAGTTTGTAGGTAACATCAACAAATACTATGACCAAGTGAGTATCACAGAAGACAAACAGGATTGTACAGGGTGTTGTGCTGTGAGTCTACTGGTGGTGTATGCGAGGTGTAGTGTGTGACTGGATTATGTATGTACGTATATGGTAATATACATACAATAAAGAGGAGGGATGGGGCAGAACAGAAGAATCAGTTTTAAGAAAAGGGAAAAGGAAAAGGCATAGTGAGAGTGGGAATTGGAGATGAACTTTGTTTTGTGGGGTTGAGACTATAATACGAGGCCTTATTAATTTGTGCTATTAAAAATATAGATATGCCATTAAAAACTGCAGTTGTGTACATGCAAATGCAGTCTGCAATCAGGATGAGCTGAATGTGTTCTGTTTAACAGCTGCTTTAAAATACTACATGAATGGGTTCAAGGTAATGAAGCATCAAATTGCATTCAAATTGTATTTCAAGGTGGAAGTTACAGTATTTACAGCAAAACAACAAAGTAGTATAAAAATATAAAGAGTATCTATTATCAAGTTGTTTTAATTTCACTTGTTTCTTCTGTTCATTGCTCTCTATAACCTGCCTCTCTTCGCTGTCTTCTCCAGGTACTACGCCGACATACGTCAGACCATCTCTGCCAGTGACCAGGAGATGAACTCAGCTCTAGCAGAACTCTCCCGTGTATGTTCCTCACGTTTGTTTTCCCATTTTGCAAAAATAACTTTTTTAGGCAAATGTTGAACACATGAATTATCTCAGGCTGGGAAGTTTCCATCTGGGTGGCTGCCTAATCTAGTCTGAAATAAAATATGAATAGCAACTGATGCAGTTTTTAACACCCTCCGCCCTGTGACGTATCTTCACCTCTCTATTTTTACTTTCACCTAACAGAATTATGCTGCTGAGGTCAACTGCCTTGTGGCTTTACATGAGCTGTACAAGTACATCAACAAATACTATGACCAAGTGAGTATCACAGAAGACAAACAGGATTGTACAGGGTGTTGTGCTGTGAGTGAGATTAACTTTAGCTTCAGCTACATGCACAAATCAGTGGATCTCTGTAAATGCTGACATTGAAATACTGTAGTACTGCTATGTCTTTTAGACTATCCATTCTTGCATGCTGCATAGTGCAGTTAATAATGGTGATAGATTTGCTACTCTAAATTATTATCAGATTGTGAAACAATGGGTCTTTCAGTTTCAGGCGTTATAGAGGATAGACCTAAACAGTGGCGGTTCTACATTGAATTACTCCCCGGGTGAGACCCCCCTCTGAGCATAGCAAGTCATAGCAAGAAGGCTAACAAACATAAGAGTTAACGTTATACCCATAAATTAACATTAGCCCTTCATTGATGACATGGATACCATAATCACACAGAACATAGTTGCATACCTTTAACCTTTGCTCGTTTCTCCTCTTTTTCTTTTCTCTTTTTCCTAAATTGGGCACCTGACAGCTTTGACCTTTTTCTCTCCATCGCTGTTTTTTTTTTTTTTTTTTTACAATCAACAGATTTCCCATCCCCCAACACTGTCACTCACGACCAGAAGTCAACACTAAACCAATTCACCTTGTATTACCTATTTTTATTAGTAATTTCACACAATTTGGAAAAAACAAAAACGTGCAAATTATAGGTCTGTGTTTTTAACATTATGAATGAAATGTGTGTTATTTGGAAGAAAGTCAAGGTGTCACTGACTTAGTTTAGGCTACTAAGTGGATCCCCCCCTGCCCCCTCGTCCGCTCCATTTGGGAGAGGTGAACTCTCCTCCTGCTCCCGCGCCCCCTCCCCTCCCCTTTCCACCTCTCACACAGCTTCTGTGCACGGCACCTTCTCATCAAGCAGGGGCGCCACATATGATACATAATAGAAAACCACTTAGCAGCGCAGATTATTTTCTTTCCAAGTGCTTGTGCCGCCCCCCACGTGTCATGAAAAAATGCCGCCCTGGGCGGCTGCCCGGTTCGCCCATGCCAAAAACCGCCACTGGACCTAAAGCTGTATATCCCAAGCAAAATGTCAGCCTACTGACCAGCTGATGATCCATGTAGAGACATGGAAATAAACCAGACAGTTACTGAGATGATACACAATATTCCTTGAAAATATCAATGAGTACAAATGTAATGATTTTCAGCCAACTCCTTCCCACTCCTGTCAGATTATCACAGCCCTGGAAGAGGACTCCACAGCTCAGAAGATGCAGCTTGGTGACAGGCTCCAACAGATTGCTGTTGCTGTAGAAAACAAAGTCATAGACCTATGACTCTAAGGACGGCATCATTTTTCATTAGTTGGATTTATTTTCTGCTTGAGTCATATATTTCCTCAGAGGATTTTTTTTTTTTTTTTTGTGAGGGATTTATTTGTTTAAAATATGAAAATTTTGTCAAGCAAAGAAAAGCATAGACAAACCAGTTTCATTTATGGATTGTAAATCCTAGTTATATTTGCTTTGTTCAATATATTTTGTATTCATGTCAGGTTTGATCGTCCATATTTCTACGATGATTTAGTTACCGTCTAGTACAGTCTACATCCTGTTTTTGGACTTCCAACAAGAATTGTTAAGTTGCCTTCCCTCACTTTCCCAACATCTAAATAACATTTTGATCCACCTTTCTTTAAACACTACTCTTAAATGTAATGACATTTTTCAGGCTGAATGAAACTGACGCCTCCGCTGCATAGTTAGAGCAGGACTGCTCCAAGCTTTGGAGGTTTCACACAAATATTTCACACCAACAAAACAGCTGTACCCTGATTTCAAAAATTATTTTGCATTGATGTTTTTGGTGTCAAAGTAGATGCCAGATTTTAACAGTGTTAAGGCAGTGCAAAGATGCTCTTCTTTGTTCCTTTCCTCTGGAGACTTGAATAAGTTGAAATATGTGCTGCCTGTGATCCCTGTTGCTCTACAGTATGGTGCCACATGTGAACACCTTATATTTTATTTTATTGGAGAGATGTTGGTTATTATTTTCAGACATACAATATAAAATAATAATGGTTATACCCCTCCTGTTTTTTTTTGTAAGAAACTAAGAGCCATTGTCATTTTTGTACCTCCTCACAAGATAGATGTGAAAATATACGAGTAAAAATCAAGTTCACAATCAGCTAGTATGGTTTGTCTCATTTTGTATGCTACATCCATTAGAAACAATAGGGAAATATAATTTGTAATGCTACAAGCGACTGCCATCCTTTGCCATGCACAATAGTTTGACTTGTGGCTTACTCGTGTGTGTGTGCAAAGCTCAGTTCTGATGTTTTACCATTTTCCTGTTCCTTAAACACTGTTCCTAAATAATCCTGAATTTAGCGTTCTCTAACTAACTGATAGGATGAACCTAACAACAACTTAATGTGATGCAATAAAGTGGTCCCAACGTTAACAAATGTCTGAAGTTATTTGGCATTATTTGTGAAGTGCAGTCAAAAAAAAATTGCAAGCAAAGTGTTGTCCTTTGTCTTAGTTCTTAACCAAAAGAGGCATGTGTGCCTGAGCATGTGGTGGAACAACTTGCTCTCTACCCTACTGCAGCATTTTCAAAATGACACTGGCCTAAGAGGGGCACTGTTCATCCATACTGTCTGACTTTTTATTTTTTGATGAATCTCGGTATTTTGACACTGATACCCCCTAAACTGGAACAATAACATGCAACTTTTTGCCATCTCAGAAATTTCCCTTCCATTCAGGTGTGTCTGTCATTGAGCCAGCACACATGATACCAGGACCCTGGAATCGATATAGCTAAATAGAATATAGCCATTGTCAGTGCCATCAGATAGGCTACACCTGTGCTTTCCTATGACATGTTAAAATGGTTACCATAAAAAGAGCCTACGAATGCACTGTAGAAAAACATTAACACTTAGTTAGATCATTAGTAAGGAGGCCTAATTGCTTCCAGGCTATGAAAGGCCCAACTTCAAATCAAATCAAATTTTATTTGTATAGCGCCAAATCACAACAAAAGTCATCTCAGGACACTTTACAAAGTAAGGTCTTGGCGACAGTGGGGAGGAAAAACTCCCTTTAACGGAAGAAACCTCCGACAGACCCCGGCTCTTGGTGGGCGGCCTTCTGCCTTGACCAGTTGGGGTGAGTGGATAGAGGAGAGACAAAAGAAGAAAAGCAACAAGACAACAATCAAACACTGATCAGGTCGATGTGGCTGGGGACTGCTCGTCAGAGATGTAGAGCTCCAGAGCCAGGGCAACCTGCAGAAAGGTACAGGGAGAGAGAGAGGACACACTACGGGAGAGAGGAGACACAAAGTTAGTAATGTGTAATGATGGCAACTTGGAGTGGGCTAACATATTAAATACTTTATGTCATTGTGCTGGAAAAACTCCATATAAGGACATCCTCTCAATGGCCTATGAATAGCCTATGACCGCCTGATAATGTCTTGCATACCTTGCATGAGCCTTGACCTGAGGATTGTTGGCATTTCAACTCGTATTGTGTGCATCAAGTGCATCAACAGCTTCTACTTCGAATGTGCACAGGTGTAAGGTAAATGATGTCTGCCCTGGAGGTCAAAGGTGCGGAGGCAGTGACTGGAGCAGCACTAGGCAACAACACAGTTGTCCTAAACAGAAAAAAAGTGTGACATGGGTGCGCATTTCTGTTTAGCTGTTAAGAATTAATTTGCAAATATAAAATGAGGTTTATGGTTATCTTTCAACATTAACATGAAAAAGAGGCAAGTTGCTATCTTGTTAGCACTAGCTTGTTTTAGCCATAAATGTATTTTTAAAACCTGGATTCAGCGTCGCCATTAAGCCAATTTTCTCCAGCAGCCACTGGTGTTACTGCAACAAAAAATCCTCATGTAGCCCAAGAAGCATTTTCTCCATAAACCACAATGATAAAAAAGAGATCTTTAAAAGTCTTGACAGGACACCCAGAATTATATGCAAGGACAATTATTGCTCTTTGTATTATGAACTTTTAATCCATTTAGGCTATACATTTGTAAAATTTCCAAAAAGCATAAAAATCTGACTTTTATTTTGGTGATGTCATCGTGGGCTCGGGCAGTGGGGGAAACACACAATGATAGTGTGCTTCCTGTTTTA